CAAACTCAATTGTGGGTATTCTTTTCCAGATTTAGTCTGGATCGGATCTCTGTGGATCAAAATTATGGTAAGTATTTTACAAAGCAATAATTGTGGTAAAATCATAATAATCTTTTCTTTTTTAGGATTTTAACAAGCTGATGCTGTAACTTTTATTCATGGTAAGTATGTAAACCAAACTATTGATTTTTTCTAATTCTTTCTTTATGTTTCAGGAAACGACTTTGGGTCACACATCGCTATTCTTATTAGGTAAGTTTTATAACATTTTTATTGGATCATTCATCCCTCCATACACATTCATGTGCGCGTTTGTACTATGTTTTACATCAAGTTTTTCTTGAGCCTGTATATATAAAATATAAAATAAATAATAATATAATTAATATAAATTCATATGCCCTAACGGATCTTTACAACCTTAAAACCACAAATTATCATCTTTCGCTAACCAAAATTCAAACAATATATTATTTCACTTCTTCTGTGGCCTTAACTAATAATTTTATAATAAATGAAATACAATGTAAACATAAACTGAATAAACAATAGTATAATGTCTGTTTCGGGTTCTACTCCTCCACAGTCTTCGGTTCATCCACCTTTTCTGTTTCTGGTGGTAATACGTCCGGGATTGGCAAACCCGCCATCGCCCGGGCAATCCGCAGCTCGATATCTCCATAATCGATTTCTTTGTCCACAGTTGTTTGTGGCTTCTGTTTTTCCTCTATTTGTGGAACCGGCTGTTCCACAATCGCGACCGTTGCAGCCGACGGCAAGATTGGTGACGGCTGCAAACTCACTGTGATGATTGTTATTATTATTTCATGTAAAATTGTGGATAAAAACCACATATCCGGCACGAATTATGTGCAATCTAAAAATGAATGAAATATCTTATTTTATTTTCATAACCTAATGTAAAGATCCGTTTGAGCACGTGATATTATATTTTATAAAATGTTATATTCAGGTTAAAGGAATGAATGAAGTACGCATGAATGCCAAATAAAGATTATTAATACTTACGTGAGAAGAATTGGAATAACCCACAAATCCAGTTTCGTTCCCTAAAAAACACAAAGAAAATCATTATTAAGAAAAAATTGAAATTTTAGTTACTTACCTATTTACTACGTTAGCTTGGAGGGATCCTAAGACGAGAAAAGGATTATTATTATTATTACTATTATGATTTTACCACAAAACAGTTAATTTTGATACTTACCAGAAATCGATCCACATTTCCAAGTAATACCTGAAAAGGAAAAGAATTTCAGTTAGTGTTATGACAATCAGGGTATAAAAGATCCACAATGAGATATAGATTTAATTACAAAGTGGACAAGCCACAATTCCTTCTGGAAGGTTCTAGAAGCTTCCAGAAGAAATCCACAAACTGTGGTGGGAACGAGTTTGGAAGCTAATGCGCCTTTCTTTCCGGAATTGTGGAAGGAAGGGGAACGCGCGAGAGTGGGAAGGCGTTGGCGAAGTGGGGAGGTATATAAGCCGTTCGCCCGGCAACAGCAACGTCTTTCCTCGCCGTTACTAAATCGAGAACGCCGTTGCGAGTCTCGAAGGAAAGGATAGTCCCGTACGCGAAGTAATATACTGCGTTTACGTAAATCAGTCGCGAGTGAACGCGAATCAAGTTGTTTTCGCCCGAATCACGCATTCTGTAAATGCACAAGTTGCATAGCGTGGATTCACTACTGATACGATTTTATTTTCGGCGAATTCGGAAGTACGTGACGCGGATCGGCCGACGACGTTCCGCGTTTTCGGAAGACGGGTTCCCAACCGATTCGTTGCGTCATAAAACGATTG